GTAGATCGTTAGCGAGTGCTATGGCCTCCACGAGCCCCAACCCTGGTCCTTCAGATCAACATATGCATAGTGGGCGTAGTAGTTAGTAGTCGTAGCCGTAGCCGTAGTCGTCGTAGTAGTAGTAGTAGTAGTAGTAGTAGTGGTGGCAGTGGTAGTGGTAGTCGTGGTGGTGGTGGTGGTAGTGGTAGTGGTAGTCGTAGTCGTCGTCGCAGTCGTCCCAGTCGTCCCAGTCGTCCCAGTCGTCCCAGTCGTCGCAGTCGTCGCAGTCGTCGTCGTCGTCGTCGTAGTAGTAGTAGTAGTGGCAGCACCAGTGGTGGTAGTAGTAGGGGTAGTGGTCGTCGTCGTGGTAGTGGTGGTGGGGGTGGTGAGGTGGTGGTGGTGGTGGTGGTGGTGGTGGTGGTGGCGGTGGTGGTGGCGGTGGTTGTTGTCGTGGTTGCTGCTGTATTGCCAATCTTGGTCATCCTGGTCGGCGGGGGGGAGCAAGATTGCCAAGCAATCTTAATCTTGGTCATCTTGCCCCTGCCCCACTTGCTCGCTTTTATCTTTTGCTTTTATCTTTTGGAGACCAGACGAAGATTGCAAGATTGCTTGCAATCTTGCTCCCCCCCGTTCCCCACTTGCTCGCCGACTACCATGGCAATTTTGCGGTACTAGTAGTCCTAGTAGTAGGCTGCGTGCGCCCCCAGCACGTAGGTACTTGTAGCAGTTTCTGTTGTTGCAATGCGGCGCTTCGAGGTTGTTGGGGGGTAGGGAGCTAATGACGTCCGGTGCCGTGGGGTGCGCTGCCGGGAACAGAACGTTATCAGGTGGTGGGTCTGTATGACGACGTGAATCCGGCTGCTGGCGGCGGCATTCGAGGTGGGCTGGCCGTGGGCAGAGTCTGGAGGGGTGGAACCGACAACAACACGGCTCCCAATACGCAACTCAGGAAATGCCAGCTTCTTCGCTTACCCCCGGCAAGCGAGTGGTGGTGGCAGCCTTGACGTCGTTCCCTGGACGGGCGAAGGCCCATTCCTCATAGCTGCCACGCCGGAGGTCCGCGGAATCTTGTTATTGGGTCATGATGGGCAAGTGGCAGTGGGCCATGCCCTGCGCAATTCAAACTCTGACAGCCAAGGTAAAACAGATTTTGAGCTCGCCCCGCATGACGAGCGCCTTCTTCTCAGCTCAAGCGAGGATTGGACAATGAAGTTGTGGCGCTTGCCGGATGACCCACCGCGTCGATTAGTCGAGCCGCTGTTGACCTTGCAAGGCCTCTCTCGGGATGTGCAAAGCTCCAGGCGTTGCAGGACAAGACAGTTGTCTTTTGAGTAAATTTGCCAGGTCATCATCAAAGAATCTCTTACGTGCACTGGAACCCAAATGCCGTCGGCGTCATGGCTTCTAATGGGCTCGACGACATCGTCAAGGTCGCGAGTCAAGTTGCGAAAGTCAAACCCGGGGGGTTGTAGCAGTTGCATGTCGCGCACTTGGGCATGATGTCAGTGGTGCTTGCCAGGTGTGGCACGTGGAAGCCAAAACAGCGTATTTCGACATAGCTGTTCCAGAGCACTTGACAGACCTCAAGTGGAATTGCAAGGGCTCCCTCCTCGCTGCAGCTTCAGTCGACAAAAATCTCCGCATCATCGATCCCCGCCAACAAACAACTGCGATCTCTGCGGAGATCTCTCAAACAAGAAGGCCGACGAAGCTGACATGGTGTTTGGAGGACTACCACTTGATTACAACAGGCTTTGAGATTTCTGGGCAGAGGCATATCTGCGAGTGGGATTTGCGAATCTAGGTAATCTTTTATGAAATCTTTTGCGTTGGAAGTTGGAGCCCTGGTTTTGAAATTGAAGGAGCCCGCTGCTTTCTTGTGTGGCGCCAGTGGTTGGGGCTCTCTAATAAGGAAAGATGGGGAAACAATTGAGAAGGGAGACCAGCGATGGAGCTGGGGTCTTGAGTTTTGGATGCTATCATCTTTGGTCGAAGTTGCAGTAGTCGTCCAAAACGTTCCAATTCCAAAATTGTTTAACAAACTCCAAGCTTGGACCTGTGCCGCGCAAGCTTTCCTTCAAGGTACCCACATTTCGACGAGAGCTTCGTTTTTTTAGCGGGCAGGGGCGACGACTTCATCAACTTTTACCAGGCCATGCAATAATGGTGCATCACTTGCCAGACATACCGACTACACGCAAAGAAAGATTGGGATTTTGCTTAGAGCCGCAAGTGCTTTTTAACATCCAACTCGGAAAGTAACATCCCGCTCAGATGTAAATCGTTGCCACACGGTTTGACATGAAACAAAGGCGGTGCCATAGATCCTTGCAAAAACATGGCCCACAAAAAGTCCACAAGCGTAGCATCAAACAGTCACAGCGTGCGATATGGATCATGTGGAGCTTCGTACAACTCAGCAGATAGCTGAAAAGGGTTGGCTTCGAGAACTCATCGGGGCATGAGCGGATGTTCGTTTTTCCAACAGTTTCTCTGCGATGGTTCGCCAGATGTCTCAGAAATCTGTACGGAGCCAACAGTTTAAGTTGGGAGGGTTCGGGCCCTGAGCCAAAGTTGGTCCAAAGTTTGTTGCATTTACACCGGTCTACCGATCCTACACCGACTCTTTGGTGGAGGTTGTGATTAAACAGTACATGTCGCTTTCAGGTTTTGACGACGTGGAATCAATCTCTACACATGCCTCCATTCCGTCACCGGGCCGGCCAAAACAAGGCCGAATCCGAGCTTTTCTGATTTAGGTGAGCCCTCAGCAGCCCTTGCAGAGATTCGACATGAGCTCTCCGCAGAAAGGGTTTGATTTGCTGCCGAGCAGGCCAGGTAGCTTCGTCGCAAGCCCGAACACAAGAGTAAGCGTTTGTACCCTGAGGTGCATTGACCCGTCCGCTCATGAAATTGCACGCGGAGCGAGGTTGCTGGGCAATGGCGCTCAGCTGTTATCGTTTTACCTGCCTCGCACAGGGAACATCATCCAACAGCCTGTGCACTCTAATGCCCATGGAAAGCATGTTACGAGCTCAGCTCGTGACTGGATTGTTCATGCTGTTACCGGGGAACAAGATGAAGAAGTGGACGTGTGCGGCTTTCGAATTCGGAAAAGCACGTTGCACCAATGGGTGCCATGCAGCTTCCGTGGCGGCAATGGAGCTCGAACAACGGGAGGGCTGTGACATGGCGCCGAAGTTGTATCGAACCAAGTTTACAACAATAGTAGTCCGTTCATGTTGCTTCCACCGAGTCTTGACTGACGGATCTGAGCTTCCTGGTTTAACTCCCGCCATCTGTTGAGCTGTGGGAGTTGCTGCAGACGTCAATGCTATTGGTCGGTTATCGGACGCACACACATAATGCCGGAGTTTTGGCATAGGATCTGCTTGAATCTCCATGTGACGACAGCCGCGGCCTGCCCCGTGGATGCAACTCATGCTCGCGGATAAAAAAGCAGGCGTTGTGCAAGCGCACTATGGTTTTACGATACTAGTACGAGTAAACTAGTACTATTACTATAGTACTTGTAGGAGGAGGAGGAGGAGCAGCAGCAGCAATAGCAGCACTAACCACCAGATCATGAAGATGACGAATATGACAATGAGAACAATGAACGACGGCCATAGCCAGAATCATAGCCATACCCATCATCAGCATCATCGTCATCATCGCCACCGTCATTATCATCACCACCATGCAACCAAGCCATTAACAATAGCAATAAATTCAGTACTCGTATTGTTGAAAATAGTAATCATGGTAATGACAGGGAGTAGTACTGGCTATGACAATCATATAGCCCCCTCTAGTTCTTTCAGCTATGCACAAGGGAAAGGATAGTAAGAACTGTTATTGTGAGTGTTGTTACGTTGTTCAAAAACCTGTATTGCATGATCATAATTCTGTTGTGAGCCTAGAGGTATCTGTGGCCGGAATCTTCCCAGTCCCAGCGAGCGAACAAATGGGAGTTGTTAAAGTCGGCATACGCAGAGAGTCAACTCGAAGCTTCCCTTGCGAGCAGCTCTCGTCAGCCACTCAGCCTCTCCTCTCGTGATTGGAGCCTAAGCAGCAGCGTTGAGGGCTTTGAGTGCTCAGCATGTCGTGTCTATTCAACAGCTCCTGGCTCAAGGCCCGGAAAGACCACTGCACCCTAATTCGCTAACTTATGGCAAGCGTGCCTGGCTTGGAAAGGCGGGTGGGCTGAAATGCGCGGAGCAAAGCCTGTAGCTTTTGTTATGTGCGCGGGCGATACGCGAATTCTGGAGCCTTTGCCGTGGCTATGAGTCCCTGAGGCGTCTAGTTTGCGCCATCATCTTGGTGACCCTCTGTTTTGTGTTGAAAAACTTCTGGGATGATCCAGGCCCTCTGCCGTGATCGGTTTTGTCGCAGGAACAGGTGTTCTGGGCGTTTTCCAAACCTTTCAGCTGTCACAGCCTGTTTGATTTGGTTCATCAGGACATGTACCAGGGCGTTCGTGCAGTAGAAAAATCCCCAAGCACTTGCATTGGCACAAGTGCAAAATGGCGCGAATCAGGTCCAGCGGGACAATGTGCGCCTCCTTTCTTGGGAGCCTGTGCTGGGCTCTTCCTCGGGGTGCTTCATTTTCCTGGAAGCGGGGTCACCAGAGGCTCCCCGCGGGCATGTAAAGTGGCAGCCTGCGCTCTGATTATCGCATCCACTGTGGCTCAGTTGCATCCCTTGCAGTCATTTCATGGGCTTGAAAAGTCTGTCAGTCACGTTGCATTCAGGTTTTTGCGGGGTCTTACCCATGGCATCAGATGCCAGCTGTGGGCGGAGAGTTAGGGGAGAAATCAGATGTTTGGCGCAAGCGTTGGGTGATGCTAGCTGCGGTCGCCATCCTGGCCCTGCAGTTCGGCGCAAGTTCAGAATTATTTACTCGGGAGGTATTCTTCTGCTCGTTGCTGTAGTAGTGGTAGTAGTAGTAGTAGTACTAGTAGTAGTAGTAGTAGTAGCAGCAGCAGCAGCAGTAGTAGTAGTAGTAGTCGTGGTGGTGGTGGTGGTAGTAGCAGCAGCAGCAGAAGCAGCAGTAGTACTCAGTAGCATTTGTTGTTGTTGTTGCTGCTGATGCTGCGGTCGTCATTGCTTTGCTGATGCGGCAGGCTTTGCGTGGCCTGCATCCTCAAGCAACACCCACCGTCTGCTTACGCGCACGATGCGAAGTGGTGTGTCTTCAGCCTATGGCTCTGCATGATGGTGTACCCAGCATATTATGTTTGTAAGGGGCACGGCTACACAAAGCCGGGCGACTGCTTGGTGGCGTTCACGCTCAGCATGGAGAGTGTCGTTCTTGGCTGGATTGTCTGTATCTTCCAAGCTCGAAACTTGTAAGCAAAAGGCAGATGTCACAGATTTCGCTGTAAAATGCCTCTTCGAGGCCTTGGCCTGGGCCTGCCTTCTGAGGAATGGTGGGTATGAGATCTAGACATACGTCAGGCAAAATCGATTCTCAGATATGGATCCTCGTGATGTGCGGCGCCTTCTTCTGCCTTTCCTTGGCCATTGCAGTTAACCGTGCAGTGGGGACGAACTCACAAGAGGGCCTGATCATGCGCATCTGTGTCCAGTCTGTGTTCCTCAGCCTGTGGGCGTGGTATACTTTCGACGTTTGCAGGACAGGCTTGAGGATGTCCAAGGTCAGTTGTGCTGCAGTCGATGTTCTCACTTTTGCCGGGAACAGAGAGGAGCTTATGGCGTGGTCTGCGCCTGCTGCAGATAGAGACTGGGCGTGTGGGAGGGCTGCCTAGACGGCAAGCCCATTGGGCATCAAGAATAGTCTGTCCGCCCCTCAGGCCCTCAGCTTTTTGGAAATCTGGTTAAGACCAGTCACACTGCTTATGCCTGAGGCATTGAACTGTTGCTCTGCATGCTCCTGGGCACCTCTACGTTTGCCACCTGGTTTTGCATCACCATGCTGAAGTACGTGCAGCTAAAAGACTTTGATGCCTACAAAGATTTCAAAGCCACGCCATGGGGACTCTCCCTGAGCCACTTGTCTCGAAGTCTTCAAGCGCTTCGCTTCACGTGTGCAGCGCAGAAATAAGGTGTAATGCGGCGACTTGATGTTGAAGCTTGTCCTGTTGATTACTTTGTCTGGGGTTTCTGGGAGGTAGCACAAAAACACATCTCTTCAGGTCATCAACGCGCTCTCGCTGGCCCTGCTCTCTGGCATCCTGTGGCAGGATGAGCCTCCCAGTGAAGAAGACGCAGAGAGGCTCAGCTTTGCAAACTCCGCACACTCCCTTGCTTTCTCTCCCACGTAAGGCATCTAACGCAAAGCAGCCAAGAGTAGTTGCGGCCCAGTCGGCTGCCTTCAGAAAACTTTCTGCATGACCAAGGACACGGAGACGCTCAAGCTCACGAGGGCTGACATCCATGTCAGGACATCTGGCCGTGGATGATAAGGACGGACAATGTCAAGCGAAGCAGCTTGATGCCAAGAGTGCCATCTCATGTGGAGTCAGGAGGTTTACATGGCTGTCGTACAGCAGCTGGCACGACGTGGCTTCCGCTTGAGCTCCCTGCTGGATTTCTGGGAACGGCTCCTGGAAGGTGACGACTACATGCCAAACTTCGATCCCCGCTGCTTGGCAACAGAAAGAGAGTGAGAGAGAGAGAGA